AGACATTGCTAAAAAAATCGTAACATCGAGTCATAAAGAAATTAGAAATTGTAAAGCAAGACTGTGTCGCAACAATAGGTTCACTTCTTAAGTTTGACAAAGAAAATCCACTCTCATAGCACAATGTCTGGTAATTATGTAATTAATATCATGATGTCCACCAGTGACAATGTGCTAGACTAACTATGAGACTGTAATCTTCGTTGTGAATCAAATTGGGCAGCAAACACATGATTTCGATCGGTGAACATCTTGCCGTTTAAAATCATTAAATAATTTTCCTAGTTTTTGTTCGTTGATTTTCAGTTTTCTTTTCTTCCTTCTCATCCACAGCACCTTCCCCTCCCCCCAACCCTTTTCCCTTTCCCTTTTATTATTTTTTTTGTTTGTAGTTAATTTATGCTCTCTTTATCTTAGCAATTCTCATTCCATAAAATTAGCCTAGTATCATTCTGTAGGCCTACCTCCTCTTCTCCTCCTGAAACAAAGTTGTATACACACACACATGTGTGCGCATGCACACACAGACATATATACACCCCAAGCAGTTGGTGATGAAACCAACCTCATGTCCACTAGTGACGTAGCCGATCATGCACTAGGCGCTAAGCAGCAAAGTGGGCCCGCCATGGCGTTGGGCAAACAAAAGCCCAAAGAAGGATCGCAATACAGTCGAACCTGTGTAAGACGGTCACCCATTGTCAAGGAGAAAAGTGGCCGTATAAGACAGGTGGTCGTGAGGAAAACAAACCCTTCCTTTCTGAGGTCCCAACCGAAGGTAGTTGCATTGTTGTTGTTCTTTTTGTTGTTGTTGTTTTCTCTGGGGTTTTTTTCCTTTTGTTGCTGCTTTTGTGCACGGGTGACAATAAAACAAAATATGTCAGACAAGGGGGACCAAGTGCTGTGGTAAAACAAACACGCGTGTCGCTACCACTCGGAGAACAAGCGAAGCTTCAGTCACAAGTTCATGCTGACGTCCATTGTTACTTTGTTACAGAGTGGGTAAACAATGACCACTCATTGCACTTACGATTTGTGTATGGATTCTGGGTGGGGCTTATGGGTTATGAGCTAGGTTACGAGAGTCACACGCTTCCCTCCCCAGCAGCTGAAAATTAATTTTGTTACCTATTGGTCAACAGTGGGAGGGGCCTACGCAACATGATCTGTTGGAGGGACTACCTAACAACGACAGGTTTTTAGTTATGACGGCTCGCCCACAACACCAGGGGCCAATGCTTGATTTATGACAAAGAGTAATGGAGCCACTAAGGTGGCCGTCTAAGACAGGGGTTATTGCTTTGTGTGATAGGGGTTAGGTGTTGAAATATGGTGTCCGCGACCGCGTTGGACAGGTGCCCGTTTTACACAGTTAAATTATATAGAAAAAAACGCAAGGGGGGGAATGGACAGTGGCCGTTGGTACAGGTGGCCGTCTTATAGAGGTGGACGTCAGGGCATGTTCGACTGTATATAATATATATATTATACTGGTAGGGTCTGCATTATATTTTCAAATAGGCCTATAATGGAAAATATCAAACCTTTATTGCAAAACATCAAATTTGGGTGAAATCCAGGAGAGCATGCCCCCCTGAAACTCCGCCAACTGCCCATGTTATTAATTTCTGTTAAAACTAGAAGTGAAATATTAATTATATGAGCCATTGCCAAACAAAGTGGCTATTCGGACTCGAGTCTGAATAGCCTCCCATGGCTGTTTGGACTCAAAACTCCAATGCGCTGTAGGCCTTGTATGGTCCTGATTTCATTTAAACACCATGTATGATGTAAAGTATGCTGTAGGAAAAGCTTTTGTTTCCTTTAGACCACTGTTACTTTGAATGACTGACTTTTGTTGCCTTTGGAAGGGTTTTAACTTTTCTCTTTTTAATTTCTGATTGGACTTCCAAATGATCAATGATTTTTGTCCTTCTTGTCAAATGAAGTGGGTTAAAAAACTACCTATTGATAGCGTCATAGTTCTGAAACTTTTTTTCCCTGCTTTGAGCTCAGATTGCCGTTTCCCTTTGTTGTGCAGTATTTCAGATTTTGCAACTGTTATTCACTTTTGACGTCACTTATACTTTTCTTAATTTGTGTCGAAAATTTTGGCCAAATCGTAGAAACTGAGGAAGGCCAACGTCTAAATTGCCAGTCTGCTTCCCATCCGGTACACCCGTTGATTGCGCACGTGCATTGGAGTTTTGAGTCCGCATAGTCATGGGAGGCTATTCAGACTCGAGTCCGAATAGCCGGAAGTAGGGTTTATTGTTATGGTTCGTTTAAAAACATCTAGGCTTACAATTCATCATAAACTAATAGTGGATAGGGGGCTAAAGTAAAGTCAAAATTTGTGTGAAGCATTCAAAAATCAACAGGGAAAAGTGCTTTAACTTCAGACTTTCCATAGAATATTGAGCATGAGTCAGGTCCATGAGAGTACACTGGTAATATAATATATTTTAACATATAAGCTATTAGTCTAAATTAAGCCTATATCTAGTCTAGATCAAAGATCATGTGCAGTCATGTTTGAACTAATAGTCAATAGTAGTAAGTAGTGAACTAATAATAGATCTAGTAACTAGTGTACGCCCCGGGACCAGATGACATCACAGCGGAAGCCATTAAGCGCTTGTGGAAACACCAGTATACTGTGACTGAGGCGCATTTTCAACAGAGCCTGGGAACAAAGAAAATGCCCAGAAGACTGACAGAAAACCATATAATGGTACCATTATGGAAAAAAAGGGCAACAAACGCGACAGCACAACATATAGAGGTATCCCATTGTTAAGCCACTCAGGAAAAGTGTATGCCAAGATACTAGAGCAGTGCATAAGACCTATTGTAGAGAGAAATCTGAGCAAAGCTCAGTTGGGATTCCGAAAGGGAAGAGGATGCACAGATGCTGTATTCGCATTACGACAGATATGTGAGAAAACAATCGAACACAACAAAGAATCCAACATCGTCTTTATAGACAAGGAGAAGGCTTTTGACAGAGTAAACCATGCAAAGCTCTGGAAGACACTCGAAAAGTACAGCGTCAGAGGACAATTGTTAGATAATGTCAGAGCTCTATACCAACAGCAGAAGCTCAGTAAGAACGAAGGAAGGCAATACAGACTGGTTCAAAGTAAGATCAGGAGTACGACAGGGATGCGTTCTATCTCCCCTCCTGTTTATAATGGACTCAATAACGCAAGAAGCAAACCAAAGCCCAGAAAGCCTAAATGAATTTCTGTTCGCAGACGACCAATGTCTTATTCATCATGACCATCAAAGCCTCCAAAATCACACTACAGAACTCAACAACACCTGTGAAAAATTCAACATGAAAATAAGCACATGGTATACGTATCAAAAACAGAAGTTATTATCTGAAAGTGAGCTGAAACCATAGTCCCCTGAACACCCATGTTGATAGTAAACAACTAAAACAGGTGAAGGAGTTTAAATATCTTGGCAGCACTTTTTCTGAAAACGGGTCCATAGACAGAGAATTAGAAATGCGAACTCAAAAAGCCAACGCTGTCATCTACCAGCTTGCACCCCTCCTATCTCATCCAAACATCTCCATGGACACAAAGAGACAGTTTATCACCTCAATATTCATACCAAAACATTATGTTATCAGTGCCAGACCTGGACCTTAAAAGCAAAACCCATGAAAGCAAAATCAGCGCATGCGAAATGAAATGTCTTCGCAAAACCCTTAACATCACAAGACGAGACAGGCAGAGAAATGAGGAAGTAAGAGCAGCTATCGGCACTGAGTCCTGCCTGCATTACATATAGAAAGACAGAGGATAAAATGGAGTGGCCACCTGTTACGCATGTCACCTGACCAGCCAGCCTTGAGAGCTTACAACACCAAGTACTCAGGTATAAAGGAAGAGGAAGGCCGCACAAGAGGTGGATCGAGGGTGTCAAGGAAACCCTAAGAAAACATGCATCACAACAGAAAGAGCTGCGGAGCTGGCCTACCACAGATAACTGCCCCCTCGACGCTTAACGGCAACAGAGGATGAAAAAAAGTAAAAAGTAAAAGTAAAGTAACTAGTGTACTGTAGACTGTCGTCTAGTCTAGATCTAGATATTTAGGGAAGGAGTTCCACAGAGGGCCGGCCGACCAACAAAACACAAAAGAGGGGATATATTTTGAGCGGATTAGACCCTTACCCTAAACAAAAACTCTTTGCTCAGTAGATGTAATCAAAGTAACAAGCCAATAGCTAGAGAACAACAACTACGCCATTGGCTGATATCTGATCTATAGCAACAGTAACAACAGCCATCTTGTTTGACGTCCTAGAGGGATTCCCACTTTGTCAGTCATGGTGGCAACACACCGCACAACAGCAGCCTGCTGACTCGGATTACTTTCTTTGCAACTTGCAAAACTGTTCCGTTCGGTTGTCCGTGATTGTGCAGCACCCTTCTTCCGCCCAGATTGATTCTGATGCGGTACACTACGTAAACTGAGAAGAAGAACAAGACTGACTAAGCGTAGGTCTACGTGAATTTGGATACGAAAGTAAGTTCAAACAAAGTTCAACGAAGCAGTGCAAATGATCAACCGTTTTACGGTTTTGATCCGGATCCTCCATTTTTTAAAGTTTTGTAAGCAAAACAAGAAATTAAGCACTTACAAGAGATTGGACATGATAGGACGCTGAGAGCTGCAAATGGAGTAGAACTAGATCTAGAGATCTAGATCTCTAGATCTAGAATAGCTATAACGGGAAGGAGCTTGGAAACTGCCAGTGCAAACCGCGTGCTACGCAAAATCATCACTATTTTTCTAACATGCTAACCACGATCAGATGACGCGGCAGGCATCCTCCTTGCCGCGAGGTCAAACAAGATGGCTGTTACTATAAACGCTCCGTACTATAAATATCGGCCAATGGTGTTTAGTTGTCGTTCTCTAGCTATCCACATCACGGTAAGTGCCGGCCATCTGTGGAACTCATCCTGTGTAAGAGTTTCACCTGCTCCACCATGATCACCATGGCTTGTTTTTGTGTGTTGGCCTGGGGCCTGGGGTCGGGGTTACAAGATTACAGACAGCAAAACTAAGACCTTTTATCTCATCCTTCAAATTTATTTTGTTAATTGTTTTCACTTGACCACATCAGAACTCAACAGGAAAGCTCCACTATTGTAGCACTGCCGGCTGATGCAGAAGACGATGATTTTTGTTAGCGTGAATGAGGGAAATGTGTAACTCAATGAGAACAGTACACACTCAGTGGTTGACGGAAGTAAACAAAAACATAAGTTGATATTTTATTTTCCGAGTGATCCCCCATGATCACGGGGCATTTCCGTACTAAATTATCGCCTGAAGAGACACAATAAAAGCATGATTTCATTTGTGTTTTTAGCTCCTTGACCATGTACCAAACTTGCAAAAATGTTACTTCATGTGCTCCGATATAAATTGAGATTCTGACACACAGATCTCATTCATTCCTCTATTTATGACCTCTTTAATCTTTGTTACAAAGTACAAAGCAACAAAAGTCAGAGAGCCTTGATACAAAACATTTTTTTCTCTGCGCTCGCAACGCAAGACCATTCCCGTGCTCAAAATTTTCAGCCAATGTTGTTGCTTTCCTGCGCATAACCGTTTATACAAAAGAACACACCCCGGATCTCCGATACAAACAATATGGCTGCTTCCCTATACGACGCTTTGCGAAACGAAATTTGAAACTCCACCCGCTTGATACTTAATACAAATCCAGATTGCTGAGGTGCATTGGTATTGTATTGTTCATCAAAGTGTTATTTACATGTGTTTGTCCTGTGGGGAATTTCCTCAAATGCTCAATCCTCTCATTTGTGAGATCAAGGAATTACATGCGACATTCGTACCATCTCTTGATGAAAGTTTGAATCCAGAAAAATAAAAAGGCGTTTTTATTGCCAGTTCAGACATGTCTTATGAGAATGTATGAATTGGCCGTAGACCATGGCCTCTATTAGAACTAAATGCGGTATACCCTAAATGCCTTGACTGAAAGTATATTGATGTACTGCTGCTACCGCTAGCAATGGTTGTAGCTTTTTTGTTGTGTCAAATGTTTTTTAAGGCTGATTATTACAGTATTTACAGGACCTGCCTTATTATTATATATTATTCTAGAAAATCACAGGATTGATCATGTATTAGGCCCCTATAATTTAACCCATGGATCTATATATGTTATATATCCATTCTTCTCAGATTTCACCTGAGAGATCCTTTTTGAATGGTGTGGATTTTCCTTTCTCAGAATTTAAGGGAAAAGTTTGGTCTTGTTTATTAATTTTTTATATTTTTTTTGTCACTCGCTTTTAAATTGTCTTTCTCAGTATTATTTTACTTTTACGCCCCATATATTCATATTCAGATATATCGCTGGTGGAGTGATGAAACCTCGCAACCCGCAATTTTTTCGAAAATCGTTTTTTTCCCCTTAAAATGTCTTCTCCCAGTTCTTCTTCACATTGTGTCAAAAGCAGTGTTAAATTATAAAGGGAAAGTATGAAAAAAACTTACTAAAAAAACCTTGTGTATGTTTGCCCCCATGATATCCTGGCGTGATGAAACCTCGCAACCCTCACCTGGTGCGCCGATCTGCTTTTGCGTGGTTTCATCACTCCCGTTTGAGAGAGTACGCGACAAGGTTATCAAAGGAACTCTGATATCTCTACGAAATGTGTGCACAATTCTGCCAAGACCAAGGGATGCAACCTCTCAACTAAACAATCAGGCAGAATAGCCTGTCTCTGTTCATGCCAAAGAAAGATATGTGCGACCTTTGCATAATCCGTGAAGTTGGCAACATGATGCGGAGGATGTTTGAAATGCATACATTCTAGAAAAGGGACAGTGCGCAAGGAAAAGGAAAGAGACAAATTCTGATGCCATCAAATATGTCGACAGTGATGAACCTAAAACGGCGCGTGAAGATAGATCTTCAGTCTGTTCTTCTTACACCCAAACTGAATGCATCAGCCCTATATTACCAAACAAAGCTTGTCGGTCAATACTTTATGCTATTTGATGCTACAATACACCAGACTACTTGTTACGTGTGGCATGAAGCAGAAGGGGGACTTATGACAAATGAGTTTGCTTCATGTCTAATGGATTTCCTGAAGGTGAAGGAAAAGCAGGACTTTCAGGCAACCCTCAACAAACTCTTTCCTGATGAAACCATGCTACCCTCCCGCCGGCTGACTACGAGGTTTCTTCACGACAAAAATGTTGTAAATGAAACCTCGCATCCCACAGTGTAACCATTTAAACAGTACAAAAGTGATTTTTTGGCGCTAACCACGTTTCTAAGGTGTTTTCATTTATCTGTTTTAACTTTGGTTCATATATATAGATCATTCTGTTCACGAGTAAATCAGTTTTTTGTCTCTCCTGTAAAATTTTCCTTTCTGGGGTTACGAGGTTTCATCACTCCACCAGCAATACTCTACTTTTCTTGTTCAATTTTATCTGTTTTACGCTAATTTGACAAAAATCTACTACTTGCTTTCCCTTTGTTTGGAGCTATAGGATGCTTTACTTTTCATTTTATATTTTAATTTATCATTGGGTGGCATGTTTTATGCTATACTAGTACTAATAATAGCTTACTTTTCTTATAAATGCGTGTCACATACATATAAAAAAGAAAAGTATACTCATAAATTGTATTTGTACAGCCTGCCCCTGCAAGAGAGGTTAACAGCAAGATGGATACAGAAGAAGATAGAAATGAAAATCACCAACAGGAGTCATCGTTTTCCTATTCTATGCTTGAGAACGTAAGTCATTTCCCATTTTCTTTTATTTGATATATTTGTACATGTATAGCTATTCAAACAGTGGAAAATCTGCTTGCTACTCACAGGCAACAAAACAAAGTAGCATGATCTACTCATAGGAATGCACATGCGCAATTCTGAAGGGTGAAATATGAGGCTTATCCCTTTGCTAATGTTTACCATGGGGGGGGGGGGGGGGGGGGGAGCGATTTCTTGAAGTTAGTCCAGTGTCGCCTGCTGTCGTGAGTTACTTGTCAATCAAAATATTTAACACCGCAAAATTTCTGTGATGTAAACCACCCTGCAAAATGAAGCAACCCATCCACACACTGCAATGATGGCTTTAGTTTAGACACCCCTAGCACTGTTGTTACCATAACTCATCAGAATGGACTGCTGTCACTTCTCATACTTGCTTACTTGTCCACTTATCTTTGTCTGTGTGTGTGTGTGTGTGTGTGTGTGTGTGTGTGTGTGTGTTTATGTTTGCGTGCACATATATGCTCGTGGCTGTGTCTAGATGAGTGTGTGTGGTTGTATGTATGAGAGAATTTTCATTGTGTCCTGCTGTCTATAGGTTCTAGCTAGTTTTCTTTCTTTTTTTCAGCGTAGAGCTATTTTTTATGACAGTGTTAACTATTGTGGATTAGAAAGCGTTCATTTTAATGAGAGTGTGATCAATTCCAGTGGAACAGTAGTTTCTTTTGTTCTTTGCTCCAACTTTTTTTCGGTAATATTATACAGAGCCATTTTCTCAGATTTAGTCTTTTCTTCTTTCTCTCAATCGCATCACACTTGAAGTCCGGTATCTCTATCATATACTGCGCTGTCCTGCTCAGTCCTTCATATTGCCCTGCGCGCGTAGGCCTACTGCTTCTCCTGCAATAATGGAGTTGGCCAACTTTGCTGTCTCAGGACCCTGTGTGTCCGGCACTGCTGATAAGGATATTTTCCACAGTTTGGTCTATTTCTCCAGACTGGCATATCTATTGATTGCACTAGTTTAAAACTTGTTCATGACGGGACAGCCCATGGTAGTCATTTGGTGTCTGTGATGCTTTAAATCATGTTTTTATGCTCAAATTTATTGATGTGGAAACTTTTTTGTCTAATTTTTAGGAAATGCAGTCAGACAGCTTTATTGCCGCGATGGATGGCAACAATAGTCATTATGCCAGTGAGATTAACAGGCTACGTCTAGCTAATAAACAGCTCAAGGCTGATCTCCAGGCAGAACAAGGTTTGTTTTCTTTCTTTCTCTATTTTTTTTTGCGAAAGAGTGTGTTATTTTTCAATATTTTCCAATTTCTTACTTTCTTAGTCCTCGAGATGTTTAAATAAAAATTCAATGTAGTCAACAAATAGTTGTTCTGTTGGCAAAAAAGTGACTCTTCTTTCCATGATCAATTTGGTAGGGACAAATTTACATCATGAGAATTTCAACATAACATGCCTCCAAATACTTCCTTCTTATTTTTTCCGAACATTTATATATGATTTTCATAATGTAGGTGTGTTTTTCTTCTTGTGGTTTTTCAAAATATATTTCCCTGCTCACCCTTTGTTTTCATTTTTAAAATAAAATGTGTCACGATGCAATGGAATCCGGCACTAGTCAATTTTTGGTTTTATTGAAGTTTCTGTTATATCATCTGAAAGCTTAATTCATTTGCCTTGCTTTGAATATACCAATAATCTTCATCTTGAATAAAAGTGGAGATATTTGCCATTAAAGGAGGTAGGGGTCGCCTGGTTTCAGAGGTAAGACTAGTGAGAAAATGGCTGCTTAAGTTTGGTAAGTTCTATAGCTTGAGAACCTTTGAAAACTTAAACATATTTGTGTCTTTAATCAACGTTTATATGTTAAATTCACATGGAAATGTGTTTTTATGTGGACATAAATGGTGTTCAGTCCAAAAAACAAAAATTAGATAAGTTTTGCCAAACTGATGGAAATATTGCATGTTTCTTCGATTTCATTATTTTGATGAAGACCTGATTTTACCACGATGAAATTGTATTCAAGTCTTTCTTCGTAACCAGTCGTTTCATTTTAAATCATTCATTTCTGAATTTCTAGATACAGTACTTCAGATGAGGAAAAAACTGAACAATGCAGAGAAACAAAAGCTTGAAGCAGCTTCCAAGGCAAATTCTGAGGTATTTTAGAAATAATTTATTCCTGTATCAATGTGACTTCTTTCATAGAGCTGGCAATTATGTTTGCCCTGGTGAAAGACAGAAGAATAACTTTTTTGGACACTGTAATATAGTTAGAAAACTTAAATCATTTCTCAGATTGATGTTCTTATGTATAGATACCTGTGAAAAATTAACAGTTCACACTTATTATGTTCATTGATATAAACAAAGCTTCCATGAGTAATATTCAAAAGTGGTGATGCCTTGGAGATGATAGCTTGAGAATCTTTATTATAGGAACCTCCATTTATTGGAAGATTGGGTGGCAGAGGTGGGGCAAGGGGGCGGGACACACACAAGTACACCTCCACAATCAAATACATGCTGACAAGAGAGAGGGGGGGGGGGGAGAGAAAGAGAGAGTGATAGACGGATGAAGGGCAATATAGAAAGAGGGAGAGAGAGAGAGAGAGAGAGAGAGATTGACTTCGTACAATGAGAAGTGAGCATCCATTCATCTGGTAAAAAAGCAAGATTTGTTAATAATTGACAATTTTGACACTTAAAAACTTTGTGATGTGAAAAAGAAATGTAGACCATATTGACATTTAAAATTCGGTCAATGTAAAACCTCTCTGTATATTCAACTTACTATAATTTATACTTTATCCAGGTTGCATCCTTAGAAACTCAGGTTGCCAAGTACAGGTCCCAGCTGGAAAAAGGTGAGGCTGTGAGACACAACCTGGAGTTTGAGCTGACTAAAAGCCAGCGTGAGGTGAACCAGATCAAGCAAACAGCCAGAGAGAAAGAAAGTTTTCTAAAAGATGGAACAGATGATCTAAAACGTGAGTTGTCGTTTTCATTTTAGTATAATTGTGGAAGATTCCATTTCAGTAATTATAATGTGTGTGGTATGTTTCAGAACTTTGCTTTTCTAAATGGAAGCAGTAATTTCATCTTTTGAGTTTTTAAAAAATATGAGTCTTTATTTGTTAAGTATCTGTCTGCACGTTCAAGCCTTTTATAGGATTTTAGTATAGCTTCATTTCTATAGATGCAGAAATATACGTATGCACCAGATGCTTCAGTACCTACTGGCAATTTCCATGACTTTAAAAACAGTCTTAGTTTAGAGTTTTTCATGGATTTTTATTTTGTGAAAAGAAGTGGAAATATTTGTTTTGCCGCATTACAAGTAGGCAATACCCAACTTAGAGTGAAAAAGATGAAATTTTAAGAATAAGTTGTTATGCTGCCTTGCATAATCTTGTTTATGTTCAGTGCTTTGATTCTAGATGTTATCTTTGTTTGCAGAAAAAATTGGAGACCTAGGTTCCGAGGTAAAGCAACTTCAAAAGTCCCTTCAGACCTGCAAATCTAATGCTCAGGAACAAGAAGGTCGGTTGAGGCAGAGTTTAGAGGAGGCTGAGACAAAGGTGAAAAAAACATATAGTGAGCTGGACACAACTAGAGCTGAAAGGGACAAAATGAGTGAACTGTGTCGCCAACATTCCAAGTGAGCTTTTTCTTTTGTTAACAAGAATCTGTTATGTCAAAGAATTTGTTTTACTGTTATTAAGTTATTAAAGGTTTTTGAACTATATGTAGATGAAGAGTGATCCTGGACTCTTTAGTATCTTATTTCTTCATGTTGGCTTTTGCTTTGTTTTCTTTTTGAAAGGTTGTTTGATGTAGCTTTCTTAAAAATGTATGCAATATTGTGCTGTTGGACCTGAATGAATTTATGTTAGTGCATGGTTATAATGTTGGGAGGTAAAAAGAGGTTACCATAAATGAAAAAGTCTTTTGGTACCAAAGACAGGTTTTCAATATTTTTCGGTGTCATGCTTAAAAAGTTTTAGTGAAGAACTTGAAGATACTGAAACTGACTATACATTGAGAATTATGTTGTTCAAGGATTTATTGATTTATTGATTTATTTGTGTGTATGTCCAGGTATTTAGTTATTCTTGATGTTCCCATTGTTTTTCAGTGTAATAGCAGAGCTGAATGAAAAACTACAAGAATTTGAAAGTAAGTATTAGCAAAGAGTCTACATAACAAGAGGGGCCACTTCTCTCTTTGAGCCAATTAAAAAAGTGTCCTCAAAATTCGGTGGCGCCCTCTTCGCAAAAGCGCACCTTTAGCGAACAGAGTTATCCTACTTGAGTTTAAAAAATCAAAGTGAAACTAGCAAGTTTTTGAATGAATTTCGGAAGAACGCTTTTTTAAAATGGTTATGCTGACAAAAAACCTCTTCCGGAGGAAAGGGTGATTGTTTTCTTCGTTTAATTTGACTTTAGAATGAAAGGTGAGAGGTCATTAAAATTTTTTAAAACTAAAACTCCGTACTGAACAAACCCGAACTGCTGATGAACAGCAGTCGATCTGCGCACGAAAGGAGCTGCTATTCCTATTCTTCTGGAAAAACGAAAGAGAGCTTCAAAACAGACTGCAGCGCCATCTGAAGCAAAGAGCATACTTCCTGCGGACACTTTTTTGGCTGAGTGGCCCATCTTGTTATTTACTATCTTTGGTATTAGTCATGACTTTAAAGTCTGTGTAACTATTCAGTGAGGTTCAATTATTGAAATTTGTTTCAAATAATTGATGTTACTTTGTGAAAAATAAAGTTTTGCGTGAGGCATGTTTTTAAAATTGTTTTTTATCTATGTGACAATGTTTTGTTTGTATGTTGCTTTTTTGTGGGGGGGGGGGGGGCTTGGTTTAAATGATCTTAATGCGATCTGAATTGAATGCAAGCTTTTTTCCTTTTATTTTTCGAACTATTTTTGACATGTTTATTAGAATATAGAATAAGTAAGTATAGCTTACTAAATATTCATTTTTTCTGATGGCAGATGAGAAAAGAAGTGTCCTAGAGAGTCTCAGGAGAGCCACAGTAGAGCTAGACTACGCTAAGGAAAGGGAGGACAGGCTGACATCTGACCTTGAGGTATTCTCTTATTTTTACTTTTGCTTCATTTATTGTTTTGTAGTTTTTTAACCTGGCTGTTGTTATGAAGCATAGAATTTTTTATTTTTTTTATATGCACACACAGATTATACTTAATTAGAAAATCTTTATAAGAATGACATTTTCATTTTTAAAGTAATTTTCTTATCTATTCCAGAACCCTGTAATTGAAATTTTCTTAGCTGTAAAAATGTTTAGTCTTATATTTATGTCATTAATTGTGTCCGGACATCACATCTGCTGGTCTCAGAATTGTTAATGATATTCTCTTTTCCTGAGATATATTTCTATCATAGCTTTCTGTTGTTTCTGGGGAAGCCTGGCTGCTATATTTACTCTTTGCAACCAAAAGTCATGACAAGGTAAGTTTCAAAGAATATACAATTGGTTTTTTTTTTATACTTGTGATCTTTGCTGGACGTGTCGTAAATCCACCAACACAGTCTACTTTTTTCTGCTTCGACCTAGGCTGCTTTGTCCAGGAATAGAACCCTTGAGGAAAACATTGAAGCTGAAAGAGCTGCTCATTTGGAAACCAAATTCAACTCTGAAATTGTTCAGGTAATAGGTGACTTCTTTCAAGAATTTGTTTCTTAATTCTCATAACTTTATATTGAAGGGATCAAAGAATTGTTTTAGAATTTGCTCCCCTTCACTGGGAAAGTAAGTTGCCCTTTTTTTCCTTAAATTATTTGATTCTAATGAAACATTCCTCACTGGAGACTGCACTGAGGTATTTTGATGAAGTGTACAGTTCTTAGTAAAATTAAATGGGATCTTTGTTGAAAATAACCATCTCAAGATAATTCTTATCCATTGCTTTCCTTTGTTCTCTTGCTGCTCTCTCCTTGCTTGATAGTCACATTACAGCCTCTTTCTCTGAGATTTTAAAAAAATCTGTAAACATTCAGAATAGGTACAGATTTTTTGGAGATGAGAATAGCCAACCTTATGCTGAAACTATTTTTATAAGAATTTAGTGTACTGTCATCCTGTTCAAGACAATCATCGGTTGTTGAGGAGAATACTGGTCATTATAGACAGGTGGTCCTCCTATAATATGGATAAAATGCAAGTGGGAAATGGTCTCTTGAAAAGGTGATTGTCTTGTACTGATGACCAAAAGAGCAGGTTTAATTGTATTCATTATATGAAGCATCTAAATATAGATGAGTGCTGAATGATTGACATCCCTACCAGTGTCTGCTTGTGCCCCATATCTCTGATATTTCCATTTTATGTTTTCAATTAACCTGATTATCAAAGTGTGATCATTTATTTTTGTCAAAGATTCTATATTTGTGTTAATTATTGTTTTAAAAATCCTCTTACTCTACTTACAGCTGAGAGTCAGAGACCTTGATGGTGCTATTGACGTGGAAAAGTCAGCAAATACTGAGGCAAACAAAGCCATTGAAAGAATTACTCAACAAAATAGGTGTGCCTTTGTATCTTTTCTTCTTTGATACGTATAGTAGTAGTGCTGGCTTTTAACATTGTACAACTTAAAATGGGTAGTTGGACTCAATTCATTTGCTTCTAATTTTTCTCAGCAGATCTATCAATTTGTTTATTTTTCTGTTGTTCCTTTCTGTAATTTTTCTTATGTCCATTTTGCTCACACCATATTGTTATTTCCGATAATTGCTAAATGAACATGCTTAATATATTCTCTTATTGACATTGTAAGGCATGAGAGTGAAGCTATAATTTTCCTTTTTCTCTCTTTTTGTTTTTCTGTTTAATTCTCTCAGGGAACTGGAGCAAGTTTACGAAGAAGAACGAAAAAATCGCAAAGAGCTCACTCAGAAACTTGATAAGTAAGCACTAACACACCTTCTCCTTTGTCCCTTGTGTGTATACTACTGAAGATGTACAAGTGGTGGCGTGGGTATGGATTATAATATTTTGATGGAGAATGCTTTATCAAGTGTGTCGCTTTGAAATGAGTAATATTTAGAAAGCCATACATCTCTATACTTTATATTTCTGTCACTATAATTGCTTTTAGCAAAAATAGATGGAATTTTCGGTGTTTGCAACAGGCTTTGTTAGACTATAATTTACTTGCCTTAGACACGTTTTAATTTGTAGATTTTCTTAAATAGTGGTTTAGAATTTTGTGGAAAAGAAATAATTTTTGCTTAGCTTTTGTTGTTTTAGAACGCCTTTGCAGAATGGTCTGTTTTCATTAACAACTTGTGATCTGTTAATTAAGTATTTTGTTTTCCTTAAACAGTTAAGGTATTTTTGGGTAAAAAAGTGAGAAGCAAATATGGTTTTATTTTGTTTTCCTTGTTACTTTAAATGGAATTGTTGCTCTTTCTGTCACACTATAGAAAGGTTTGGGGGTGGTAAGGAGAATTAATGTGGGCATGAATCTCTTCTACATTTATGGTTGTGTGTTTGTGAGTTTATGGCAAACTTAATTTGTATTTATTTATAATGTATTTGTGCCGTGCATGCTGTTGTATACTTCATATGTGCCCAGAAGTTGTCTTTTTAGTTTTTGTTATCTGTTTTCAATTTTTCTGTTGTAATGTAGCATTTTGTCACAGCTTGGCTACAGAAATTTTGTAATAGTATTTGATCCTGGAAGTGAAGTTTTCATTGCTGTTTTTATTGATGGCACCATGCAAGGTCTTATCTCTTGATTTTGGTGCCATGTTGGGATTGTTGTAGATGTCTTCCTTTTGTACTTCTGACTTCGTTCAAAAGCTTAAAATAATATCATTATTTCACAATGTCTGGGCAGGTTGGAAAAAGAACACATGAGTGTTCGCAGACAACTGTCTGCAGAAGTGGAAGAGAAAAAGGCTGTCATTGGAAACCTGTCCAAGGAACTGGAATCTCATCAAAAAAATTTCAATGAGTTGAAAGCCGAGCTAACAAAGGTACTATTCTGTGACTGTGGTGTCTTTTTTCACCTTTGTCTTCCTGTAGCTTTGTCAGAACAACTTTTGGCTCTGTAGGTAATAGGTTTTGCCCTGAAATGATACTGTTTGATTATAAATCTTTTCCACCTCCATCAACACAACTTTGAAGGCTCAAAGGTGTATGGGGTTTTTAATTATGTGTTGAGTGATGAGAAACTTCCCGAAAATTGAGGACATTGACCTTGCAGTTTGAGCCTTTAAAGCATAATTTAAATGAGGGTTTATTGATTTTAAAAAAGCTAACTTTACTTGTTTTTTGGAGGGTTTTTTTTTAGTCAGGAGACTCTCAGGATCACAAGAAATTTAATCCCTTAGTTTTAAAGGTGAAATAAGGTTCCTGATAGAGTTTATGAAATATGTTGCTTGGACTATCTGTAATTTGACTTATGAATTTTATGTAATTTACATCAGCTCATTTTCCTATGTCTATTCTGGAATTACGAAGCAACTGTTTATATTTTGCTGTAAAGAATATTTAAATCTCTCTGTTGACGAGTTATTTTTACATTCAGTTTTTCATGGTTCATGATATATGCATAGATACATTATATTGTATAACTACCACCATTGTCGTTGATTTGTAGAATGTTTCATTTGGTTTAAATTCCTCTTTTTTTTTCAGGCCAAAAAACGGCAGCAGCAGCTGGAAGAGATGTACAGTGGATGTATAAAAGAACTGGAATTTCTTCTTCACACTTTCCATTTTGATGACAAAAAATTGAGTATGTACTATTGTGGGACTGATTTGAATTTTCTTTTAGTAAAGACATGTACAGCTGGTTATTTTAAAATGGTAACTTGTGTGCTTCACATTTTATAGTGACATTGGTAAATTTGCTACTTGTCTCAAGACCTGGAACTATTTTGAGTTTTTACATCGGCCAATGCTTATTGGTGCTTCTACTTCTGAAGAAATCCTACTATTGGGACGGATACATTCTTTTGTGTTTGTTGAAATTAAACTGAATCCACTTTAAACTCATTTACATGATGTGGGTTGAGTTTGTAACATCATTGAAGATAACAAAAGTAAGCCAGCTACCTTGAAAGTAAATTTTTGTTGGTGATTTTGAATTCCTTATAATCAAAAGTTTTATTAGTAAGTCACATAGTGCTTTTATTAGGAACTGAAATTGCTGGCTTGTATAGAAGCTTTGAATTGGTATTTAGTTCTTTTCTGAATGTTAGTTGCATGCTTCTATAATTTACTCTTTTGTGACAGGACTTGCCAAAAAAGAGGAGCCTGCCTCTTCTTCGAAAGGCAAAAAAGTTACGAATCCAGCCGTGGTTGTGGAGAGTTTCAAGCAAATGCTGATGCAGCTGAAGAGAAAGATGGATACTCAGACAGATGAGGTATAATTGTAGTTATGGACACTTTGTTTCTTTATGTAATATCCCTTGTGCAGGCTGGAAGATTTTAATAGATTATGAATTCATAATATGTGATAAATTTTGATGTGTTGGGTTTCTTTTCTGGAAAATTTAGCTGTGTTCTTAAAATTCATCACAAGAGTTGATAAAATTTTGTGAAACTAGAGGAGGTCAAGGATTTCTTCAGGGTTTGAACTATTTTCATTTTCCAGTCATCTTGTCAGCTTCATAGTGACAGGTGATGTTTAATGTTTTCGTCATGCCTTATGAAGTCTTTTGACCAATTAAATTTTTTCATCAATGATGTATTTCTGTTTTTTCCAGCTAATGAAAACAAAGAAGACAAATGAGCGGCTCAACAGGGAGCTGGAATCTTGCAGGGAAATGATCAAAGCAAAGGATAAGACCATTGAGGTGAGTTTCCACACACTGCGGCCATCATTCTACGTTCTGTACTCAAATAAATTTCTTGTTCTGTCTTTAAAAGTACAGTGTGTCTAGACTTATGGCCATATAACAACAACTAAAGTGAAAAAATAATGTGCAAGAGCTCCTCTTTTCTTGTACTGAGCTAACAGATCTGTCTTAACAGTTTGTCATCAGATATACAGGCAAGATGGGCTCATTTGAACTATAGTCATTGCCAAGCAATCCAAGCTTACGAATGTAAGCTTTATTATATTTTGTGAGGAAATGGGAAGATAGAAATTATTTATGACCAAAGTAGTAACCAATAAACAGCCTTGATTTTCCCAAGGATGAAAAAATATGCTTTATCGTCTTATCTATGATTAAAGATAAACATTGTAAATCTCTTACTTACCACTTCCAATTGTAGATAAAAAGTAAATATTTCTGTTCCATTAGAATCATTGCAGCAGTGTACTTGCATGTGAAAAATAAGTTTATTTTTCTGAAAATCCTGGTTGTCATTGAATAGCAAATCATGTATTTTTTTCACTTTGTTTATTGCATTATGTCAGTTATTAAAGGCTTAACTGTCCAATTGTGAGGTTTTTTCCAAAGAATGGTTGCTCCTTTCAATTATATTATTATTGTTTTGCTTATAGTATTGTCTAGTTTTTACTTATTAATTATCAAATCTGCTGAAAAAGCTCTCTAATTTTGTTATAATGTAGATGTATAGATGCAAAAAGACTTGTATGGACAATTTTTCTCTGTCCCTCTTGAATAAGCTTTTCTGGAGTTTGTAAAATGGAAATCAATCAACAGGAAATCATGATTATAATATGAGTGTAACATGATGTTTTTGCAGGAAACTCAAAGGAATTATACAAAGACAGCGAAAGATCTGAACAAGTCTCGGTCCAGTTATGCCGAGTTGGAGTCTACCATTGGGAAGTTGAAGACAAGTCTTCAGGCAAATGCCAACAATCAGGACAAAGACAGGACGCGCATCCAGGAGCTCAGTGAAGAGGTTGATAAAATGCTCATTTTGTTTTATTATATTATATTTTCTCAATATTTACAACTATGAATTAGTTTTGTCATTATTATTATTATTGAGGTTTTTTTTTTCAGAATTTGAATTTCCAGCTTGAAATTTTTTGTACCTTAAAAGCCGTGGTGTTCCTTTATACAAACTTTATATTTGTTTTAGAGTGTAAGTCATTCTGCTTTGAGGTACATATTGTTTTTAAGGTGTTTTAGATTTCAGTCCAGTCAATGACATAGGGGAAAAAGGTACAGGTTAAGGCTTGCAACTTGTCTTTGAAGCTCATTTGAAATGGTACTGCCGCCAACTTGTGTTTTTTACCCACTTACTGATTTATTTTTTATTGTTGTTGTTAGAAAGATTGGTTCTCAAGAAAGCAATTTTATAACTTTTTTGGGGGGTGGGGGGGGGGGGGTGATGTTTTCATGCTTGTTCCATATGCTTGTGGTCTTTCTGAGTTTTTTCTCTTTGCACCTTTTAAAATATTACCAAACCTGCACCTGAAGTCATGTATAAGTGTTGTTTATTGTTTGAATTTGTAATTTCTTAAGTGCGATTTCTTTCACCTTCAGATTATGAAATTGGTGAAAAGACACAGAGCAGAGGAAGAGGTGAGTTGTGTTATTTACGTTAACTTTGTCACTTAGTAGATTGTCAACATAATTTTTTGTCCTTTTGACTTTTTGTTTTTAATTAAATTCATGTCTGTATAGTGAATCAAATTTTATTTTCAGTGTAGGATCTTTTGTAGATTTTAAATTTTGTTAGACTAGAATACTATATCATGGCCTTGATTGTGTAAAAGTGGTGTTTTTTCTAGACATAACAAAATCATTTAGAATCCCAACCAATGCTAGCGTATTTTGTGGGTTTATTTCATGGTATGCTGCACCTTCAGCCGAAAGAATGGTATAAAAGATCTCTACAGTTGACTGGTCTTTGTACTTTTGACACTTTTATGTCTGAATTCAGTGCAATCCACATTGAATACCTGTGCTTGTTTTCCCCTCTACAATTTATTCAGAGAATGTAATTAGAAATTATTTTTTTTGCTTTCTGTTCTCAGGAGAAAATTGCTTTTCTGCATGGATTGTATCAGCGGTTATTGTCCAGTCATATTACAGTTCCCACACGGGACAAGAGCTTTAATCAGTTTGCCTGGCTGGATCTGACTGAAGTGGTTTATGAGCAAGTGACCTCGCTGGTGGATCTGCTGCACATGTCAGATGAGAAGGTTGATAACTTTTTGACATTTCTAATCTTCTTTGTATTGTTTGAGTAATGACATGATCTATTCTGTAAGGGTCTTACCGGTTCAATTTATGTAAACTGAATTTGTCTTTCTATTCATAATATTGCTATGTTTTTATTACCACAAAAAGGTTTTTAAAAAAATAATTTATAAATTATGTACTTTTTGGCTTACTGTGCACTTCTGCTTGTTGGCTGTGGTCGAGAAGTCAAGGAAAAGGAAGCTGTGGTCCTAGTGGCTTGTGATTTTGAGTTGAGTTTCTGATAGAGTAGACCTCACTTGCTTGCTTATTTCTACAATACTTTCACTGTTATCATAGTATATTGGATTTTTTTTTTTTTTTACGTGCAGGGTTTCCCCATTTCCCTTAAATCTGTCTCTCAGGTGCCACCATCTTCTGTTCTAATTTGCGTATTTACAGAATCCTCTGTTTCATTTTTAGTTCTTCAATTTCTGTTTTTAATTACATAACTTCATTGTTCCATGTTGTATTTTCATTCTTAGTTTATTATTTCTGTTTTTGTTACTTAACTTCAGTTGTTTCATGTTGTATTTTTTTTTCTCATAAAAGCTGCGAGCAAGTCAGGATTCGGGCCGGGTGCGAGATGAGACCACCGCAAGACTGAGGCAGGAGCACGAGGAACAGATCAGCCGTCTGACAGCTCTGTCCCGGGACCGTGAGGCAGCCTGGCAGCAGCAGAAGGAGGAGCTGGAGCAGCACTACACACAGATGCTCTCAGACATGCAGTCTAGATCTAAGGTTGAGATTTTGTTGCATCGAGCTTAAAGACGTTTCATATTCTTTATATTATATTTTTTACTAATGTTTCAGCTCTACCAGTCATGGCCTGTCAAAAAATATATTCTTCCTTTAGTGAAGATTAAACTCAGGTCTTTTGTGTTCTAGGTGAAAAGATTAGCCATCTTACCAAAGTCACATGTTGGTATATTTTAAAAGGCGTGTAAAAAAGAACCCGAGGACTAGGCTGTCATAGCAGTTTCTTATAATGTGAATTCGAAAAATAAAAGAATGTTTAAAGTCTCTTTTTTTTTCTTAGAAAACTCAAGTGATTGCTGACCAGGCATGGGAGAAAGTGCGAGCTACTGGCAGTTTGCAACAGGGTCTAGAGTCTGAGCTTGTGGAACTGCGGAGAGAACTGGCTGAATCACAGGTGAATTGAGCTTATTTTGTCATGTGGAGATTTTGTTTTACGTGTTTTTAAAGTGAACATATCCCTCTTGGTTTTATTTAAAATTTCTGCTGTCCCACTCTTTATTTTGTTTATTTGTTTTTTTAATCAGTCTTTGGGGATGATTGAGTGAATAGTCAGTTTTTGCTTGAGACTTCAAAATGTTCGTTTTTGCTGCTTTCATAAATTGGCAAAAGGATTTTAGTCATGATTTCTTGGAAAAATACAAAAAAATTTTATACATCCTTCCTATCTGGAAAGTTATAGGAGTGAGAGTCTTGAGTTTCATGGAGTAATTAGCGATACACAGTTTCCAAACTGATTTTGATCACATATTTTTTGGTCTCATTATTCAACCTATTTGTTTTTTTGCTGTCTCTTTAAACCTTTATTGGATAAAATGTGGTTTTATGAGATTTTCTCCGTATTTCCCTAGGTTCAAGCTTCCTCTCTCCTGTCCGCCTGTGCTCTACTCAGTGGGGCGTTCTACCCTCTGTACTCCCGGGCTTCTATGTTGGCCTCTGAGCGCTACATCCTGGAAGACTTATACTACACCTGGGAGACGTGTCGCGACCGTGCTCTCTACCTTTGTAGTGTGCTCCGTTCAGGAAAAGACAGCGACCAAGATAAGCCAGAGCGAGACCGACGCTCACACAGAAAGGTCAACCCCCTGTTGAGGTTCAGGGTTGGTGTTATTGCGGTGCTGGCTGCTAACCGTCTAGCGTATCTGGGCGAGAAGTCCACCAAGTGTTTTGTATCGTATAACTCTGGGATTGGAGACAATGGACTGTGTGTGTGTGTGGGCAGAACTGACCAAACCTCACCCAGGCAGTTCAAGGGTAAGTTTTGACCCTGTGGTGGGACTGATTAAATGAAAGGGTCGGATAAACACACACTGAGTATTTGAAATCATTGTTTTCTTGTTAGTGCATATCATTTCATTCTTTTATGTTTTGTCATGCTTTCTTTAAGATTGAAATGAAATACTAATTGATTTGTAGGGATTTTGTTAATTTTTTTGGGGGGGTTTAATAGCTTAAAAAATTACTTTTTAAGATACTTTATGTGCTTTCTTTACTTTAAATGATAATTATTGCAGGTTTTAAAATAGATAGCATTTATTTTGATTCCAACAGATGGTACTTTAAAATTGAATGTTTGTTTTATTATGGGCTCATAGTTGTTTTCTGAGTCAACAGTTTCTAATTTCTGTCTTAGGGGATGGCAATACCTTTAAAGTATTTTTTTCTGGTTAGATTAAAATTTAATGCCTTTGTTTTCCCTGGAAAATAGTTTTTATATGTAAGTTATCATTAAGCTTATGCTGATTAAGAGAATGTCCTTTCTATCAGATGTTCTTGCTGAAAAGAAGACAGTTAAATTTGCTTATCTTTCTAATTGCCCTAGGCTGGCTATACTTTGCATGTAAACAAATTTTGTTATATTTTCATTTTTTTTTTTTTATTCAAAGGAGGTTGGTGGTAGCATCATTGTGGGGAATAGGGTGACATAAGGTCAGTTCAAGTCTCAATGTTTCTTTATAGTTTCTGAAGGATGTTTTGATTTTTTAAATGAATATTTGATGCATGTAACTCAACTCCTGTTGTTCTTTACATCCCAGGACTGGCAAGACAGTTTGGTGATGATGAGAAAGACGATGAAAATTCACCTCGCTCAGCGGCCGACATTCAAAGCAGTTTGTGTGGCTGGCTCAACAGTCAAGACTTGTTAGAAACTGTTGTCTCCAGCATGGCAGATCTATATGAAGCCACTCGCCAGTATAAAAATCCTAGTAAGACTAAAATATTTTTTGCTGTGTGTTTTTAGGGGGCATTGACTTGCAGTGCTGGAGAATAACTTTGTGCTGAATCAAAATTTTTGTTAAATTTGGTTCTTTTCGTCCTGACTGCAGTTTATGCATTAATCTATCTTTGCATTCATTGCATATAATGTCCTGTTTATTAGAAACATGGCATGTCGACTTTGACATGTACAGAGATTTATTAACTTAAAAGCAAGCAAGCATTTTGGGCATATGAGTCTTTTGTGTTGTTTTTTCTTTGGAGTTGATGTTTGGATTAACAGAATATGTTCACCATAACTGACAGTGTGGGCTAAAATTAGGCATGTCTTTGAGTAGCAACTTGTCCTTTTTATGTGTGCTTCTTTGATACTTGGTTAAGTTTTTTGTTTCTTAAAGTAAATGACAATGTGTATAGATCATGCTTGGTCACTCGATCTTGTAGTTTATTTTGTTTTCCTTTAATATGGTTTTATTATGTGTACAATGTAGTAGAATGTTGGTTAGCAATGACATTATTCTTTTTTATTTGTATATTGCAATGTCCCCTCTGATTATTGTTTGTTCCTCTACTTTTCTTTTCTAAGATAACCAGATAGAGATGAGGTCTGTAGCAGCAGCGGCCAGATCTTCCTTTAGCAAGTTTGTGGACAGATTGTCCAATTTCTTCCCGGAGACCACTTTGTCCACACCCACCTCCATGAGAGACAGAGCCTCCCTTCAGCGAAAGCTGGAGAAACATTTATCCAGAATTCTCAGTGAGACCTCACCTGAACACAGGGGTACGCTAGTGTCTTCTCAGGTAAATTTGATATTTGTAGAAATCATTGTAATTTTTATCTCTTGAATTTGTTTTTTTTTAATATTTACATTTACTTTGTTTTTACTTTGTGTATGCCAGGCATTGATAGCTTGCACCGTGTTGGCAAAAATACAGCTGCAAGCTGTTTTTCCAAATTCTCTTGCTGCTGTTGTGCTTCTTGACCACCTACAAATATTTGCACAAATGGAAAGCTATGGCTTGCAGCTCCTTGTGTGATCAGGAAGTACTGGTATTTACAAGTACAGGGTGATCCAAAAAAATTGTACAACTTTTTTTGTTAATATTTTCCACCACACTGAAATTTTGCTCTTCAAATTTGGACTCAACATTTGGAAATCAAAAGGAATTTGTCTGATATTCATTTCAGAAAAATCCACAGAATAGTTTTGTTTTGCACAGCGCGTACAAAAATAACCCATTTTCAGCTATGTCCCCTTTTTTGTAGCATGGCGCATTAGTTTGCATTAGACCTACCACTAAAATTCCCAATTTTTGAGCCATATTGCATACTACAGTAGTGTAACAGGCCAACAGAAGTTTGCAATTGTTTTTCTAAAGTTTCCTTGGCCCGCTGTGATCATGGTTAAGATTAGTAAAGAGCAGAGAGCTTTTTTTATTGAACATTTCCTCGCTACCAACTCATTTCGTAAGTTACGCACAAGGCACAGAAATAATACTAAAGTGCCCTTAAGGCCTTCTTTGATGTCAGGGGTGGAAATGGTTCATCAGTTAGTACCTGTAGAGAATCAGAACTAAAAATCCCCAGACAAAGCGACCATTTCAGGTCAAACACACACTGTTCACACCCCTTTAACAGGGTGCAGAATTCAGTAGATGAGCCCCATGTAGACGATGTCTGCAACAATGAATTTCCTACATCTCAACGGTCCGCATTCTCAAGGCAGATCTTTTTCTACAACAGTACCATTTTCCCATTCACGAAACTATCAGAGGATAGCAACGTATTCATGTTTCCTTGATTGTCTTGAAAAGCATGGACATTTCCTCTATGACATTTTGGTTCCTTGGCAAAGCCCATTCACCATTCGGGTTTTATCAACTCCACAAATGCTGTATATTTGGGCAACCTCACCCTTCCCCCTTTTGTCTCTAGAAAGAGCTCCATACTGTAAGGTGTAACAGTGTATGTGGCTTTGAGTACTCATGGTTGAGTGGATCCTTGTCTTTGGCCACCATTGAACATTCGAACGACGCGTTAAAATGTGTCGAG